CACGCGAAAGTGCGCTCGCCGATACGTAAGGACGAGCCTCACTTGGAACCGCAAAGTCTGGCTCTTTGCCAGTCGGAGATGCTCAAGGTGAGGGAACTAAGCTCCGTTTCAAATCCAGACAAGGATATCCCGGAAGGGTCTGTCTGGCTACCCTCAGAGTGTCTAGACACAAATTCTCCATCGCGCAAAGGCTATGCACCAACAACAGTGCAGGTTTTTGCATTTGAATTCACTCGCTCTATGCAAGGCTGCGCACCACTTGTGGGAAGACGCACGCATGGCCCCTTCGCAAGAAAGAGGTCCACCCATGGGAATGCATGCATGGCCGCGCCAAAACGTCGCCTTCATGCCCTGCTCTTTCTCCAAATCCAAGAATTCTGGCCTAGTTTTGACTCAGCGATCTTGATTCTCGCCTCTTGGCGCGCCCTTCTACGCAACCCATGCCTCCCCGAACGCTCAATGCATGGAGCTTTCAAACTCTGGGAGGTCTGACAGGGACTGGAGGTCCAGCTGTCGCTCGATCTCCTGCCGATATCCCTCAGACCCCATGCTTGGGGCTTCCCGGTGCAAGGGGAAGACCCCTGCACAAACCTCCCGCAGAAGGTTTGTAGCCCATGTTTTACATTGGAGCCCAAAAATACTTGTTTGATTTGAACGTGCTTGAAGCATTGCTCAAACTTCTTTTTTTTTTCCGGGTGAAGAATCATAATGATCCCTGGGTGCCTTGCTTTGAATGTAACTCTTGAACATCTTGAAAGGCGGGCCATCGGGCAACCGCCAAAAACCAGACGTTTGATGATCCAACACAGTGAACCTTGATGTCAAAAAGAGCCCCCAAAATCATTCCGCTCAAGTGCAGCAAAAACTGACAGGGATCCATGGAGCATTTTACTGGTGGGGCTCCTTTGAAAATGCCACAAGCAAAAGGCCCAAAACAAACCTAAAAGCTGAGGAAGCCCTGACTGACCCATTGCGACTCCTGGGTTTTGGGGGTTCTCCCCGCGCCTGGCGCCCGTCCTCGGAGTTGTCTCCGGGGGTAATCTGGCGACTCCCCACTTCGCTGCCGGTGGTGGACACCCGGCCAGAGGAGCACTCCTTGACATGGCTGGCTCGTCTTTTGTTCGGGAGTTGGTACCCCCCCCCTTTTGTGCGGCTTCGAAGGAAAATCAAGAGGAAAAAAAAAGAAATCCGTTTTGGGGGTCCCCGCGCACTTGGGACAAGAACTGAAATCCATTATGGGGGTCCCCTAAGAAACAACGCGCTCCTAACTTTCAAGACTCCGAATGGGTGTGGCTCGCTCTGAGGCAAGGGCTACCAACTTCTTGGGAGAGGGAAAAAACCGTTCTGCCGCTCCTAAGCTCCGACTTAGGAGACATACCCTAACATGAGCCCCGGCACACCTTTTTCTTCCTGAGTGCCCGAAACACATCATCGTCTACAAGAAAAGTCACAAAGGCTTGCATAGGCCTTTCTACAGGCTCCAACACAGGTAATAGAACCACCTGAAAATGTTGCTGCTCTTCCTCCAAGGCAGCAAGGAGAACCATTTCTTGTTGTGGGGTTGAAATTTGTGATGCAGAACCACCAACCCAAAGAGGATTACAAGGGTGCCACCCAACGAGGGAATGACCCCAAACATCCCTTGCGATTTCCAACAGGTTTAGATTGCCTTTCTGCTTGTCGGTCTGTTTCGGATTCGAGGCCCGTTCCATGTCCTACTTGGACATCAACTCACATGAAAATAATAATAATAATGATAATAATAATAATAATTAATAACAAGAAGAAGAATAATTTTACAACCATGTGGGACAAGTCCCGGGCTTGGAAAGTTCTCCTCAAGCCAGAAGCAAACCACTACCCTCTCGTCCACTAACATGGACCTACCAGGGGGTCCCTTTTAAAGAAAATTGTCTTCCAGGGACGCCCCGCCCTCCCCTCAGAATTGTGTATGAGCATTTGCTTTGCTTGGGAAGGTAATGCTAGTGACGTATCAGCCGCCTACGCTGGCGCCTACTCCCTGTGCAAATACCATGCGGGACAGCCTACGCGAGGTGTATGTCAGCCTTAGTAGCGCCTACACGCCCCTACGCGGTTGGAGTTTTGCTCTCAGTGTGCCTTCGCGGTGTGTTTCGCGCTAAAAGACGTGCGTGCCTACTGGCAAACTGTCAAGTCGAGCCTATGCGGTGCCTACGCGAGAAGCTCCCCAGCCGACTGACAAAAAGTGGCTACACTGTGCCTACACGCGTGCAGTAATATCAGATATGTCCACGCTCCTTTTGCCTCTTTGCTACAGAAAGAAAAAGAACTCATATATATATATATATATATATATACATATCTATCACCGCAAAGGACAACTCAAAAGCTTGGAACCCCCAGGTTTCTTCGTTGCGCGTCCTTGAGCTGCAACTCCTTGTTCTTCAGCTCCAACAAAGCGGAGTTGTAGCCCGCGTACATGGTGGCAACCATGAAGCCGGAGACCATGACCCAGGCGTTCTCCACCTGAAAAAAACGCCCCAGACATAGGTGGCGCTGTCCACCTAAAAAATTTGGAGCAGAGGCATTCTTGATCTCAAATCTGCAGGAGGGCAGCAAGATCCATTTCCTGAAGGGACCCCCAGGTGCCATGTGGGAGGGTAGAATTTGGCCACCGGTGAGTGTTTCTGAGACGCCTCCAGATTTCAGCGGTTCGGACTCTGACATTGCGGGGTCAAACTGGGAGGAGTTTGATGTATGTCCGAGAGGCCGTCGTGAACCCACAGATTCTGGGACGAAGCTGCAACAAACCACTCACGGCCTGCCTCCTTGGTAAAGCTGTCCCCCAACCATTCCGACAGCACCTGGGAGTGTCATTGTGTGTGTGTGTGTGCGCAAACACCCCCAAAAGGGGTTGCACTAAAGCGAATCCAAGGCAAATTGAAGCCCATGTCTTGGGGGATTTCAGCCAGAGTTGCGATTTCAGCCAGAGTTGCGCAACCCCGCTTCAACATCTGTTGAACCACCTCTTTCTTCTTCTTATCCACCTTTCGGTGTCCCTGGAAAAAAATAAAGTGCCTAGTTTGAACCACTTGTGCTTCACGAAGCCCCCCTTTTCGGCGGCTGTTTACGAGGTTTCCCAAGACCCACAGCGAAGCAAAAGCCAAACCCGCGGGTGTGCATTGTTTTTTGTTTTTGTGTTTTTTTTGGGGGGGAAACGGAATGAGGGAAGCAACGCTCTTTGCTCTTGCATTTTGTTTTCCTGTTTTTATGTTTATCTTTTTTTTCGGGGGGGGGAAATAGTAAAAGGAGAATTCAAAGAATTATTCTTTCTACAATTTTTTCCAACAGCAACACAACAAACAGAAAACAAAATCCAGAACAACAAGCAAACAAAATAAATAATCACAACCAGCAACAAAAATAGTTAATCACAGCATGCAACATTAAATAATTCAAACAAGCATACCATCAAAACAGCAACACTCTAAATCATCAAAGAACCCAAACTCAAAAACACACATCAACAAAAAACAAAGCAACATACCAACAAAAAATATCACAAGAGTATCAAACAAAACAAAAACAAACAGCCAAAGCACGAAAAAACTGAAGAAGCATACCAAGTCTAAACAACGCACTTTGAAAGAGATAAGCAAATTAGGAAAATATAATAATTCAATCTTTACAAACGATAAATATATTATAACATATAATATTTTACATGTGATAATCATAGTATGATTAAACCTGTTTTTAGTGTTTCCAGTCTCCTATGTTGTTCCAAGAACTGCTCAAGATGTTTCTGATATTATACCAGATTAAGTTAACGTCATAATCTTTCATTGGTGCTCTTTGTTGTATTAAATAACGCAACACTGATACCAAAGTATAATAATTACAATGCATTGTTGTCATTCCTCCTCTTTCATTAATACTATTACCATTACGTTTAACGAGTTCTTCTTTCATTATGTTTTCGTAAATCTCTTTTATCCATTGATGATTTTGTTCTCCATACTCAGCGAACATATCTGGATATATATCTTTCATTGTTTTATCGTTTTTAATTATTTCAATGACTTGTTTATACGATGGATAGGGATTATCCTTAATGAAGCTCAATATTATCTTTCTATCCTGTTCCAGCTCTTTTGCTGTCACTCCTAGCATTGGCATTTTCCTCTTATTATATTAAGTATTTATTCCTTTAAGTCATTTTACATTATAATTATAACATATAAGGGTATAAATGTTATAATCATAGTATGATTAAGAATTATGGGTTAAACATAAAAATCAGCTATTTCTTCCAACATCATTATCTTCAGTGAATAGCACCTCATTTAACTTGTCAGCAATTTCCATTTCAGAAACCCTCGTTTCCATTTCAGAAACCCTCGTTTCCAAAACGGAAACACCTGTTCCAAAAAGCCATTTCCAAAATGGAAACACCACTAAACATGTATTATTTCCTCATCCGAAATACCACTCTGAAATGTCCTGTTTCCAATTTGGAAATACCAGTTTCCAATTAGGAAATACCAGTTTCCAATTAGGAAATACCAGTTTCCAATTAGGAAATACCAGTTTCCAATTAGGAAATACCGGTGTCCAATACCAGTTTCCAATTAGGAAATCCCAATTTCCAAAATCTGAAACCAAAGTTTCTTGATTGGAAATCACTCAGGAAATGTCAAACTCACCAAGATTTCACAAATTAATTCGCTAGGTATTTTATATAGGTCTTCTTGCTTATGTATTGTTGGGTTGTCTCCCCATTTTTCCTTGGTGCCCGATGGTAGCCGTTGTGCTGTTTCAATATGTTTATTATTCCTGATGTTACCACAATCCTTTTTACATAATTCTCTAGGTTTCCAAGTTGTAATGTTATTCCATAGCCTAGTCCTCTTTCTATAATTAAATCCATATTTACAGTAATCAACATCTTTAAATTCAAACTCATCCATAAACTCCTGATTTTTTAATAATCCAGTTTGTGGATTTTCGATTACAAAATATTTAGGATTAAAATATTTGATAATCTCGATAGTTTTTAAGACAATACTATTTGCATATTCGATATTCCTAATTCCCCTAGTTTTTGCTACGCTGTATTCAGTGCATGGGGGACTACTCCAAATAAAATCAAAATGGTTTCTGTCAAACTGTTTGTAATCCCACTCCAAAATATCAGTGTTGATATCAGCATTTTTCAAGTCTAATGATATTACATTAAATCCAAGCGACTTTGCTATGGTTCCGACGCTTTTTGTTCCGCTAAATAATTCTAATAAATTCATTTATTAGAATTATTTAGATTATTAATTATTCAAATAATGTATATACTCCATCATCATTTATTGAAATTTTATAAAATTCTAAAGTGGTGCTTTTAGGTTGTTTGATTTTTCCTGTATTCAACATATCACAGTATTTCTTTTGCTTTGTCGGGTAGTCGCCCGATGGTCTTCCTATAGATTTTGCTTGAAATATCTTTTCGATTTTTTCTTTATCTTCATTGCGTTCAACTGGTTTCATTTTGTCATCAATGGATTTAATCATATCATTTAAGGTTTTGATATTTTTACCAATTAATGAAATCATTAATAGTATAATTCTCATTTTCAGACATTACTATATATTTATTTAGATAATTATTTATTTAATTATACAATTTACCTGAATAATTTAATGTTATATATGTAACTAAATTATATTCTTCAAGTCTTTCATCAATTTTATTTTTCATTTGTATTAAACCTTCCTCGTCACCTGTAATTTCAAAAAAAAATCAATATTTTACCAAAGTTATCTGGTTTAGTTATACCTTTCATAAAATATTTATCACTGAATTTAGCATCAAACCAATAAAAAATATTCTTCACTCAATTGTTTAGCAAAGTTTTCATCACCATTGAATAGGTCTTTAATTTCTTCATTGTCAAAAGTTATAATTCTATGGTCTTGTCCATTCATAGTTGGCATTATGATTATATAAATAATTAGATATTTATTTATTTATTTAATTATATATATTTATAAAGTGCAATTATGTTAAATCTACTCTTTAAATACTAATTTTTCATGATTTGTTTAATAGTTTCCTGCGTTTCGTTTTCATTATTATCCGAGAGTGATGCATCCTTACCCCATTTAAAAGTTATACTATGGACATCAGTTTCTAAGTTGATACTGTCTTTAGTTTTATCAATATTCATTTTCTTATCATTTTTACTTATTTTGAAACTTGTTGGAATACATGAACATTTACAATTTCCTTTCTTTTGTATTTCTAACTCATTTTTAAGTTCTAACATCTTTTTGCACATAGGACAAGCAACCTCAAATACTGCTGTTTCTTTAACAATTTCTCCGCTATCTTCATCTGTTGAAGAAACACTTAAACCTGTCTTATTTTTGTTTTTCTTTTTCTTTTTCACCATTTATATTAATATTTACATTTTTATTTTTGATATATTGTATTCCTAGCTTAAGTATTTCCAATGAATAATAACAGCATTTGTTTATTTTATTGTCAGTAATTATTACTTGTTCTATATTTTCTACTTCGTCTATTATATCAATATAATTTGAATAACTCCTATTCATATAAATAATAAGATAAAATAGTTATTTAATCTTATTATTTTCATACATAATAGAATATTGGTGGGGCACAGCACTTGGGGTTTTCTTTACAATGCATCAAACTAATTAGCTTCAATGCTCATTGATTGAAGCAATGGACGCATCGGCGATGCCTCGCGAAGCTTCGCGACATCCCGTTCCATTTAATATTAAATAGAATATGTATTTAAACTGTTTTCTTTAGTAAGTTTTATTGCAGTTGATAGACTAACATCTTTAATATTAATATCAATAACTTCTTCTACACTATTTATCATTTCATGTGTATACATATCGGGATAATATTTCATAAAATTTACTAACTTTCTAAAATTAAAATCTAGGTTATTGTCATTTTCAATTGAGGACTTGGATACTACGATATTTTGTTTTTTAATTGCCGATAAAAAGTATAACATTGTATCATAATATATTTGTTCAGTGTCGGGCACTAAGATATCACCAAATTTATATATCCTCCGAATACTAGCCACTTCACTTAAATTAATAGATTCTATTGCCATTATGATATAATTATATCATATTTTTTATTTTATAAGTATTTATAATATTATTTTTATTATGCCTGATGTAAAACCAATTGATGAAATCAAATATGACTTTAAGCAAAGTAAGCATGAGGTTGTCCCTAAATTGCCTATGAGAGCTATGATTGTCGGACCATCTGGAAGTGGAAAATCAACTTTACTTGTATCAATGATACTTGATATTTATAGAGGAGCATTTAAAGAATTTTTATCTGGTCTCCATCAGTAAATTTGGATAGTATTTGGTTGCCAGTGAAGAAATACATTAAAGAAGGTTTGAAAGTAGATAATGATAAAGAACCGTGTTGGTGGGATGAGTTCAATGTTGAAGATTTAGAAAGAGTTATAGAAACTCAAAATAAAATAATTGAATATCAGAAAAAACAAGGAATGAAAAAGTTATTTAATATATTAGTTATATTGGATGATGTATCTGATAATCCAGCAATAACAAGAAATAACAAATTGTTAAATTCGTTATTCTGTAGAGGACGTCATAGTGGAATATCAACACTTGTAAGTCTTCAAAAATCATCAACCGTACCACCAATTATTAGGGTAAATATAAGTCATTTGTTTTATTATAAAGTTAGAAATTTTAAAGAGATAGAAATATTGCAAGATGAATTATCAGCAATTGTTAGAAGCGATAATTTACATGAAAGCAAGAAACTAATTTATAAAAT